GATGTATTGCATTGGCACATCTGCTGCTCAAGACCTCTTTAAGTGTTGAAGTTACTCTTGTCAATTTGAAGACTAAGGTGAGCCTGACCTAACTTCATATGCATGCGAAAATTGTGCCGTAAATAAGGAAGACCATGGAAGAGTTGATGCATTTGCGTTATGGTGTTGGAGGAGAATATTGAGAATACCATGGACTGCCAAAAGAACAAACAAACAGGAAGAGGTACAACCAGAGTGTTCCTTGGAAACCATAGTGGCCAATTTTAATCTATCATACTTCGGACATATTGTCAGGAGTGACTGGTCACTGGATGTCATATTTGGTAAAGTGGAGGGTCAAAGAAAAAGGGGAAGACCCCCAGCAAGGTGTATTGGCACAGTGGAGGCGGCGATGGGCTCAGGCATAGCAACAATTATGAGATTGGTCCAAGACCAGGCAGTGTTTCATTCTGTTGTGCATAGAGTTGCTATGAGTCAGTACTGACTCGATCACATGTAACAACAATAGCAACAAGCATATCTGTGAAAAGATATGATAAAGGAGCTTAATATCATCAGTCAGAACAATGCTAGGGACCAGCTGTGGAATAGACCACCAATTGCTCATGCACAAGTTCACGTTGAAGCTGACGAAAATTAAAACAAGTTTATAAGAGCAAAAAATACAGCCTTAAGTGTATAACCTTCCTGAATTTAGAGACCATTTTGAGAACAGATTTGATGCACTGTACACTACTGACCAAAGACTGAACAAGTTGTAGGATGACATCAAGAACATAATCCATGAAGAATTAAAAAGATAGGAAAGAAAGAAAATAACAAAACTGATATCAGAAAGACTCTGAAATTTATTTTAGAATACAGAGAAACTAAAGGGAAAGGAAGAAATGATGAAGTAAAAGAGGTGAACAGAAGATTTTAAAGGGCAGTGAAAGAAGAGAATAAAGTATTACACTGAAATGTGCAAAGACTTGATGGTAGAAAACCTAAAGAGGAGAACACACTTGTCATTTCTCAAGTTGAATGAACTAAAGAAAACAAATTCAAGTCTCGAGTTGAAACGTTGTAAGATTCTATGGGAAAATATTGAATAATGCAGGAAGCATCAAAAGAAGATGGAGGAATACACAGTCACTGTACCAAAAAGAATTGGTCAGCATTCAACTATTTCAAGAGATAGCATATGAATCATGAATCAATTATATTGAAGGCAGAAATTCAAGCTGGACTGAAGACATTGTCAAAAAACAAGGCACCAGAAAACGGATGGAATACAAGCTGAGATGTTTCAACAAATGGCTGTTGTTGTTAAGTGCCATTGAGTGGGTTTCGACTCTCATAGCGACTCTGCATAGGGTTTCTGAAGAGTGGCTAGTGACATTGAACCATTGACCTTGCAGTTCAAACTAATCTTAAGGTTGAGTGTTTATCCTTTGGTGTCACACCAGGATTCAAACAAATGGATACCCACTAACAGAAATGGATCCTCACTAGTCTATGCCAAGAAATGTGGAAAACAGCTATTTGGTCAACAGACTGCCGAGAGACATATTTGTGCTCATTCCAAAGGAAAATGACCCAATAGGATGTGGAAATCATCAAATAATATCAGAGGCTGAAGATAATCTAAAAATGATTGCAGCAGTGCATCAACAGGGAGCTGCCAGAAATTCAAGTCAGATTCAGAAGAGGATGTGGAATGAGGAATAAAATTGCTGGCATCAGATGGTTCTTGGCTGAAAACAGAGGATACACAGAAAGTTGTTCACCCACGAGTTTTCACTATGCAAAGACATCAGACTATTTGGATCAAAACAAATTATGGTTTACATTGTAAAGAATGGGACTTCAGAGCACTAAATGTTGCTCATGATAAACCTGTACATAGACCAAAAATCAGAAGTTCAAACAAGGGGATACTGTGTGGTTTTAAAATCAGGAAAGGTGTGTGTCAGAGTTGCATCCTTTCACCATACTTATTTAATCCATGGATTCTCTCTGAGGTGGCCTGCTTTGTCTAGCTGCCAAACAGGTGTGTTTTATTGTTGTGGTGGTGATTTCAAATTGTATCAGAGCCCTTAAATGGGTGGCGATTAGCAAGATAGAATGCTTCAGCTCTTCAGTGAGAACTGATGGTGTGGTTATTATTTTGGAGCTATATCATCCAAGTTTAAAACCTGTACAAGTGAATGATTTTCAGGACTCACTTCCTTCATTTTTCATCGGTACACTTGGCTTTCCCATATATTCATCCAGATTATCAAATCTCCTAAATGATCCACATTCATCATTTAAGAAAAATAGAAAAAGGATAGTCCTATTTTTGTGGATTTTAAACCAAAATACAAGTTTAAAATCAGGAAAGGTATGTGTCAGGGTTGTATCCTTTCACTATATTTATTCAGGCTTTAGCCTGAATTCAAGAAGTCAAATTATATGAAGTAGAATACAGCATTAGGACTGGAAGAAGACTCATTTGCAAACACCACAATTTGTTTGCTGAAAGTGAGAAAGACTTGACATACTTACTGACGAAGATCAAACGCTGTAGCCTTCACTGTGGATTACAGTTCAACATGAAGAAAACAAAATTCCTCACAACTGAACCAATAAGCAACACATCACAAATGGAAAATACTTAAGTTGTCAAGGATTTCATTTTACTTGGATCCACAATTAATGCCCATGGAAGCACTAGTTAGGACATCAAATGATCTATTGCATTTGGCAAATCTGCTGCAAGAGAAAACTTTAAAGTATCAAAAAGTAAAGGTGTCATTTTGAAGACTAAGATGTTCTTGGGCCATGTGAAAATTGGACAAAGAATAAGGAAGATCAAAGAAGAGTTACCTGGCCCCCCGTCTCCCCCCACCACCATATAATTGATTCCAATTAATAGCAGCCCTATATAGGGGTTTTCAAGGCTATAAATCTTTATGGGAACAGAAAGCTTCATTTTTCTTCTGGTGGATTTGAACTGCTGATCTTGTGGTTAGCAGTTCAGTGCCTACCCTATAGTTCTACCAGGGTTCCTTAAAGAAGAATTAATGCCTTTCATTTATGGTATTGATGAAGACTATTGAATATACCTTCAACTGCCAGAAGAATGCACAAATCTGTCCTAGATGAAGTACAGTCAGAATGCTCCTTAGAAGACAATATGGTGAAACTTCCTCTCATATACTTTGGATAAGTTATAAGGAGGGAGTTATCCTTGGAGAATGACATCGTACTTGGAAAAGTAGAAGTTCCAGTTTTTGAAGTTCCAAAATTTAAAAAGAGGAAGACCCTCAGAAGACTGATTGACAAAGTAGATGTAACAATGGATTCAAACCTAACAAGAAAGGAAGGTGTAGGACTGGGCCCACAGTGTTTCATTCTGTTGCACATAGCATGGTTATGAGTCCAAACTGACTTGACAGCACTTAACAACAACAAAAACGATATTGTTGTTATCATTAAGTATCATACAGTTGGTTCTGGCTCATACCAACTCTGTATAGGGTTTCTGCAGAGCAGCTGGTAAGTTTGCACCGCAGACCTTGAGATTAGCAGTTCAGTGCTTATCCTATAGCACCATACCAAGACTCCAAAACAACTGTAAATTCAATGTACATGACATTAAGGAAAAATTAGAATAGAGATAGAGAACAATTGGTGGTTGCCAGGGGTTTGTAGTGCAGGGAGAAGACATGCATGAGGGAATCTTTGTTTTCCTTCCTGATTGTGGTAGTAGCTAAGTGACTGTATCCACTTCTCAAAACTCACTGAATGTACACAGAAAAGTACATTTTACTGCATGCAAATTAAACATAATTTTTTTTTAACATACAAAAGCAGCATTACCTTTCTTCAAGAGTCGAAGTAGAAACTATATGATGTTGCTGTTGTTAAGTGTCATCAAGTCACTTTCAACTCACAGACACCCTGTATAGGTTTTCCAAGGCTGTAGATCTTTGCAGGTACAGAAAAATCTCATCTTTCTTCAGCAGAGAGACTGATGGCCTCGGAGTCCAATGTTTATCCTATGGAGTCACCGGGCTCCGGAAACTATGTGATGGTGGTGGAGGTATTGTGTTGTTGAGTCAATTCGACTCATAGCAACCCTGTATAGGGTTTCGGAGACTGTAAATCCTTATGAGAGCAGAAAGTCCCATCTTTCTCCCACGGAGAGACTCATAGATTCAAACTGCTAACCTTAACCTCTATGCTACCAGGGCTCCTTGAAACTGTATAATACCTATTGTAAATATACAGTACTTTCTCGTTGAAAAATGCTTTTTTAAAAAATTAAATCTAATTTAAACGTATAACTTTATTAGTTTTTTATTTTAAAATATTAGGAAACTCATTTTCAAGAAAGCTATGTGATATGAATACAAAGAATAAAAATGAAACTTTTTCAACTGACTGCCTCTGAATTGTAACTTCTGCTGGTGACAATTGACCCAAGTCAAATCAGGAGTTACTTTTACTGTAATGTATTTTCCATCAGGCCCAACAGAATGGCCAAGAGAACACAGAAATCCAGAGCTCTTAAAACCATTTCAAAAACTACTCACAGCAAAGTTCACCCCACTTTAAATCTTACCACACCAATGCTTTCAAACGAAAACACGGCCGTTCCAAAGAAGAGAGGGTACGTCTTCCAACTTGCTACTAGTGGTAACCTGCTGAGGTCTGGAATTCCCTACAGGAAAGAAAAATGAGATAAGACATTTATTCTCAAAGCACATTTGACATCTTTAAGAGAGGGTTACTCTAAGAGTAGACTTGCATCTTTTTAATAGAATGCCAAGAGGTTCAGGAAACTTTGAAGAGAAGTAGACAAGGATCAAAGTTGATATCAACACTAAAGAACCAGATGAAAGCAACATAGAATCAAAGTATTAATGGCTACCATCTCATGAAGGGAGCTTGGTTGATCAGAAACCTTGAAAAACAAGAAAAGAAAAAAAATCTTACACATCATAGATTAATCCCATCCTAAAGCATCCATGCAAACCTTTGAATGGATAGTGACTATGGGTGTGGAAAATTACTATGACTTTAGTTACAATGATATTGTAAGAAGTTCAAAGCAATTACTTAAAAGTGAAAGTTCTCTTTTCTTCAACAAGCCATGAGTTGTAAAGACCCAAAGTAACTTAAATAAACACTTTATATATCTTGGACCCTAGAATGCACAAATAATTAAAGAACCATTTCTCTACTTGGGCACCCTTTGGAATAGTCCAAAATTGAATCAGAGGCAATTATCCCATTAGGAAATATAATTCTGCAGAAGTCATCAATGCAACCTAAGGAGTATAACACTGTTATGTTATTCTAAAATATTACTAATTCATTATTTTTATTAAATTTCTATTTAAATCTCTGCAACTTTTTTCTTTTTTAATTTTCTGTCTCTCTTGGGCTCCCTAGGGGATAAGTTTGGGTGTTTAGAATTATAGCCTAGAGGATATAAGACTATGAATATTTCAATATGTTTTAGCTGTGGTGGAAAAACCTGTTTTTTATTTTGTTTTTGCTATTTTCCAATCAATTGCAGGAATGATCTGTAGTTCACCAATCAAGATATTTTCCTTGCAAAGCATTTTTTAAAATTCAGAATGTAACTTAAAAATTCAGGCATTGAAGAAACAATATAAAAAAGAAGATATTTAGAAGAATGAGATTGCATACAGACATCCTGTAGAAGAATCCTACTTGAGGTGAAGACTAGACTGAAAAGTGAGAAATATACCTACCACCCTCAAGGTTCACTGAAATGTCTACTATGAACACAAAAGCTCTGAACACTGTAGGGCTTAGGCATGCATTGTGCACTAACTTGGGCGATGTACTGGGTGATGATGACCAGGCTGACCAGCATGCTGATGTTGGCCAACATGGAGAAGATGGTCAGGACTCTGAGGTTCCGGATGAGGGCCAGTAACACCAGAAAGGGCAAGAAGGAGAGCATGTAGAGCCTGGAGTCCATGGTGGGTGTCAGCATTACAGTCGCATTATTCTGGCAGTTGTTGGTTGTACCATTAACAGCTTCCACTACCTGAGGAAGGAATGGGAAAAGCAAGAGGAGGAGATGCTAGGGTCACATGGTGAGCCCAGAGCTAACTTCCTCACAAAGAGTTGGACCATTTCATATGACTTAGTGTGGATTTAGGACTTCTTATTCTCAATTTTATGTGCCATGCTTTCTCAAAAGAGACTGCAGATATAATTTGAATGAAAAGGAAATAACTGTGTTGTGCTGCCAATTGCTTGGCTTTTGGCAAGCCAACATCCATTCTTTCTGATTTTATTTTGGGAATTATCTCTTCCTATTGAATACAACCATGGAGGATTTTAAATCATTGTCATATGGTGTACACGGAGGTCTCTGACTCAAGCATCTGAATCTTAAATCTCAAGCAAAGTGACACAATGAAAAAACTAGAAACATTAATTTTGATACTAGAACTATGAAGGACTGCTCATTAGTTCTAATTACCAGATCCCCCTAGAAGCCCTGTTGTTTTTTAAGTTAGCCATTATCCGTCCACTAAACTTATTTATGCATAAGTTCTCCTGAATCTGTTTCTTTTGGTGATAGCCTCCAAATCTAGAATTCATTGTTTCTTAACTGGAATATTAACTGGCATTTTTAATGAGAGGACTCTTCCTTGTGTGAATTGGACCATTCACTCTAGAACATTAAACATCCCCAGGCCCCACCCTCAATTATGTTGTTGTTAGGTGCCATTGAGTCAGTTCATAGTCATAGTAATCCTATGTATAATAGAATGAAACACTGCCCTGTCCTGTGCCAGCCTAACAATCATTACTATGTTTGAGCCCATTGTTGTAGTCATCATGTCAATTCATCTTTTTCACTGAACCTCTGTTTCACCAAGCACGAGGTCCTTCTCCAGCGATAGGTGCCTTCTGATCACATATCCAAAGTACTTGAGACAAAGTCTTGCCAGTCTCACTGCTAAGGAGATTTCTAGCTGTACTTCTTCTAAGACAGATTTGTTCACTCTTCTGGCAATCCATGGTATATTTGATATTCTTCTTCAACATCATAATTCAAAGGCATCAGTTGTTCAGTCTTCCTTATTCATTATCCAAATTTCACATGCATATGAGGCAATTGGATATACCATAGTTTGGGTCAGGTGTACTTTAGTCTTCAAAGTGACATCTTTGCTTTTTAACATTTTTTAAAAGAGGTCTTTTATAGCAGATTTGCCAGTCCTATATGCTGTTTGATTTCCTAACTGCTGCTTCCATGGGTATTGATTGTAGATCCAAATCAAATGAAATCCTTGACAACTTCAATCTCTTCTCCATTTATCATGATGCTGTTCATTGGTTCAGTTGGGAAGATTTTTGTTTTCTTTATTTGGAGGTGTAATCCATAGTGAAAGCTGTAGTCTTTGATCTTCATCAGTCTCTGCAAATGGTAGATTATTAATGAGTCTTGCTCCAATCCTAATGCCTCATTCTACTTCATATGATCTAGTTTTTTAGATTATTTGTTCAGTGTGGAGTTGCAGGATAATGCACTAAGCCACAAGGTTGGTGATTCAAACTCACCAGGCACTCCTCAGGAACCCTATATGGGGATGCTATGAGTCGGAACAGACTCAACAGCACTTAACAACAACACCAATAGATTGAATCAGTATGGTTAAAGGATACAACTCTGATTATGCCTTTTTTGTTTTTAAACCATGCAGTATCCCCTGCTTTGTCTGAATGACTGTCTCTTGGTCTACATGCATATTTTGCATAAGCTAAATTGAAGTTTAAGATTCAATTATAGCATCCCCCAGCACTCAGCTGTCAGTTTGTCATACTGTGCTGCCTTATATGTTGCTATGATGTAAGGATCTATGCAATGGGTACTTTAAATACCAGCAGAGTAACCCATGGTGGACCAGTTTCAGCTGAATTTCCAGAGTAAGGCAGATTAGGAAGAAGAAGAGGCAGACTCTTTTTGAATTTTTAGCCACTGAAAACCTTATGAATAGCAGAGGAATATTGTCAAACATAGTGCCAGAAGATGAGTCCCTCAGGTTGAAAGGCACTCAGATCATGACTGGATAAAAGCTGTCTCCTAAAGAAGAGTTGAGTATGATGACTCAAATGTAATAAAGCTTCCATGACCTTCATGTGTTGATGGGGAGAACAACTCAAAACGAGTAGAAGTAGCTGGAAACATCCATTAACAGTCAGAACATGGAATGTACAAAGTATGAATTTAGGAAAATTAGAAGCTGTCAAAAATAAAATGTAACACTTAAAGATAAATATCCTAGGCATTAATGAACTGAAGTGGAGTAGTATTGACCATTGAGTATCTAACAATCATATGGTTTGTTACACCAGGAACAACAAATTCAAGAGGAATGGCATAATATTCATCATCAAAAAGAACATTTCAAGATCTAGCTTGTAGTACAATGTTGTCTGGGATAGGATAATATGCATACAACTACAAGGAAGACCAGTTAACACCATTATTATTCAAATTTACATACCAACAACTAAAGTCAGTGATGAAGAGATTGAAGAATTCCATCAGCTTCTTCAGTCTGAAATTGATCAAACATGCAATCAAGGTGTATTGATAACTACTGGAGATTGGAATGTGAAGGTTGGAAACAAAGAAGATGGATATGTAATTGGAAATTATGGCCTTGGTGATAGAAATTAGGCTGGATGTAGCAGGATAGCATTTTGAAAGAACAATGACTTATTCATTGCAAATACCTTTTTTAAGCAACATAAAAGATGACTATATACATAGACCTCACCAGAAGGAACACACAGAGAAGACACAATAGAAAAGCTCAATATTATCAGCCAAAACAAGGCCAGGGACAAACCATGGTACAAACCATAAGTTGTTTGTATGAAAGTTCAGGCTAAAGTGAAGAAAATGGAAACAAGTCCACGAGAGCCAAAATATATCCTTGAACATATCCTTCCTGAGTTTAGAGACTATCTCAAGAACAGATTTGATGTATTAGAAACTCATGATAGAAGACCAGAAGAGTTGTGGGATGACATCAAGAACATCATACACGAAGCAAAAGGTCATTAAAAAGAAAGAAAGAAAAGGACAAAACGGATGTCAGAAGAGACTCTGAAACTTGCATTCCAGTGTAGAGATGCTAAAGCGAAGGTGGCAAATTAGGAAATAAAAGAGCTGAGCAGAAAATCTCAAAGGGCAGCTTGAGAAGACAAATTCAAGTATTATAATGAAATGTGCAAAGACCTGGAGTTAGAAAATCAAAAGGGAAGAACACACGAAGCATTTCTCAAGTGAAAGAACTGAAGAAAAACTCAAGCTTTGAATTGCAGTATTGAAAGATTCTAAGGGCAAATTATTGAATGATGCAGAAAGCTGAACTGAAGGCAATGGCTAAAAATTAGGCTCCAGGAATTGACAGAATACAAATAGAAATTTTTAAAACAAACTGATGTCGCACTGGAGCAAAGAAACTTGGAAGACAGCTATATGGTCAACTAATCTGAAGAAATCAATAGTTACCGCCATTTCAAAGAGAGGTGACCCAGTGGAACGTGGACATCATAGGACATTATCATTAATATCGCATCAAAGACAATTTTGCTACAGATAATTCAAAAACAGCTGCAACAGTACATCAATAGAGAACTGCCAGAAACTCAAGCCAGATTCAGAAGAAGATATGGAACAAGGGATATCATTAAGCAGAGAATACCAGAAAGATGTTTACTTGTGCTTTATTGACTATGCAAAGGCATTCAACTATGTGGATCATGACAAACTGTGGATAACATTGTAAAGAATGCACAGACACCAAGAGGAATTCATTTGAACACAAGGGAATGCTGAATAGTTTTAAATCAGGAAAGGTGTGTGCCAGGGTTATATCCTTTCACCATACTTATTCAATTTGTGTTATGTACAAATAATCCAAGAAGTTGTACTATATAAAGAAGAATGTGGCATCAGGATTGGAGGAAGACTCATTAACAACTTGTGATATGCAGATGATACAACCTTGTTTGCTGGAAGCAAAAAGAACTGAACATACTAATGAAAATCAAAGACCACAGCCTAAGTATAGATTGCACATCAATGTACAAAAAACAAAAATCCTTACAACTGTACCAATAATTAACATCTTGACTGAAGTTGTCAAAGACTTCATTTTGCTTAGAACCACTATCAACAATTATGGAAGCAGCCATCAACAAATCAAACAACACATCTCATCAGGCAAATCTACTACGTAAAACCTCTTTAAAGTGTTCAAGAGCAAATATATCAGTTTAAGAACTAAGGTGCTCCTGACTCAAGCCATGGTATTTTTCTTTTCTTTTAAGATTTACAGGCAAGACTATCAGTTTTACATTCAACAAATCATACACTTTGTTTCATCTCAACTATTGCAATCCCCTGCATGCAACAACAGTTATCCTGCTTCCTCCCTGAGGTTCCTATTTCCATTCTACCCACCTTCCCAACCCTTCTCAACTTTGTTCTTATGTAAATGTTGCTCTTTTGGTTTTGAATGATTGACCATTCTATAGTAAGCATACATTACTATTGTTGTCCACCCTATATACCTATCTAATGCTTAGCTGAAAATGGGCTGCAAGGGTGAATTCCTTTCCAGACCTGAAGCGTGATCAAGGGCCACAGTCTCAGGTTCCCCCAATCTCTTTCTGACCACTAAGCTTGGTCTTTTTAAAAAATAATTTTGAGTTCTGTTCCCTATTTTCTCCCACTCTATCCAGTACCTCCTCATTTGATCCCTTTCTTAGCATTTGTACCATCTAGTTCTTAGCCGAGTACCATCTAGTTCTGCTGGTCTCAGAGTCACGGAGACTGATGTTCACATGTCCCATTTGTCTGTTGGACTAATTGGTTCCAAGCTTCTTCAATCATCATCACTCTTCTTTCTTCTGCACATGGAGAGACCAACATCTGCACCTTAGATGGTCGCTCATGAGCTTTTAAGACCCCAGACACTACTCACCAAAGTAGGATATAGAACATTGTCTTTGTGG